AGCTAGCTGCTCGTTTGTGCCAGTTTGCTCGTTTACAGGCTTTTACCTGAAACTATTACCCACTTGCCGACTCAGATGGTCCGTTGGTCCATCCGTTCGTCTATCTGTCGGTGTCTGCTTGGCTGTATTATATAGCCATTGCCAGATGCGGATGCGGATGCGGATGTGAATGCGATGCGGATGAGGATGCGAATGCAGAGAGTCCTTATGCAATCAACTGTCGACTCGTTACAACTTTTCCTAGCAAATCTGTTAAGGTATTATATTTTGTTGAGCATCTGCAGCTAGTCGCTCATCTGATTACATATTTATCTACAATTTATACATAATTCTGCAGCGTTGCAGTTCATCTCAGACGGCCCACAAAATACTTTAAGCTCTTTTAGTTGAGCTCAGTTCAGCTCAGTTCAGTTCAGTTCAGTTCAGTTCAGTTCGGTTCAGGTTTCCCTCCTATTAAGTTGCAACAGGGGAGAGAGAGCTTTGCAACAGGAAACGCGGCATTCACTGAAAGACACACCAGTTCTGCTGTCGACCCAAACAATCCATCAGCACATACTACCTTAGATGACTTACGCCCCCGTCCGCTCAGTCCCCGCGGCATAAAACTGTCAAAAACTTGTGATGCGAGCGCGAGTCTCGCACGCACGTGTCCAAAAACAACTTTCGGTTGTCCTTAAAGTTGAGCTTTAACTTTGCGAAGGGTGAGCAGCAAAAAACAATGATGAATTTGCCCCAAAAATATGTGGAGCAAAGCAAAAGTAAAAGTCGTTGCCCAGCATAGATAGAAATACATATACATGCAGGCATGCATGTATGTATATGTATGTTCGCATGATGAAATGTGCTTCATTTTTCATACAACAACTTGCGCAACTTAAGTTTCGTAACTAGTAAAAGCATTGACAGACATATGAGAATTTGCTGCGAACATAAATCATAAACATATTAAGAACGAATATTTAATACACTATCTGCCATGCAGCATCAATTTGGGCTAAAAACTTTCGCAACATCTTCTGGAGTGGCAAACAAATTGTGTTGAGTTAGAAGTAAGTAGAAAAAGTTCTGCCCAAACTGTTAATAGGGTAGCAACAGGTGCTCAAATACCCATCGATAGACGGAAACTAAGAACTTGAACTATCAGCGCAGGACAAGGAAACATTAAAGCCGGTGAGCACAACGCCCACAGCCACAGCCGTGGGCGGGCAAAGAAATGAACCACATGTCAATGTCAAAGGCGATGACAAAGACAAATTTAGCTCGCAGACAGTTACCTAGCCCGGCTAGAGGCTAGAGTATAGTTGTTGAGTACGTAAGGAAGTCGGCTGCCTCAAGCACTTGCTGTTTCAATTTAAATACAAAATGTTTTCGTACGGGCTTCGCTTTCTTTAATCGAAAATTCCAAGCATGCTGCTCTCACACACACACACACACACACGCACAGCTCGAATGGCGCCAAATTCCGTCCGGCAATCAACTAAATTCAAAGCAAATTGCCCGCACAGTGAATTTTTGGCCATGATTGTAACAGCAGTGGGCCAAGGGGCTGGGAGGCCAAGCAAATGCCTCATTATTTTGCGCTTGAGATATTTCTGTCTCGTCACTAATTCATCATTGTTTCGGCACATTAAATGCTTGAACGTCAACGCATTCATTATCTTATGGCCCAACTGGTCTTTTCGGCCAACTCATCGCCCTCACACATGGTCAGCCAACTGTCAATGCGCGTGTGTGTGGCCGTCGCCAAGGCAGCTAAGTCTCATGTCTGAGTGATATTAACTGACCCAACAATCCGTCAGCGAGCCGCCCATCAGAAGAAGAAGGAAGAAACGAGGCAGAGCGTCTGAGCTGAGAGTGCCCAACTAGCAGATACCCTACGCTTAGCTGAACTTAAGACCTTGCTTCTTTATAATATGTGATATTTGCTCTATGAAATTAATTTGCATGAAACATAAATAAATAAAAACTTTTCTTGCAGCTCATTGATCGAAGCTGAAATATATTGAAATTTTATGTATTTTTCAAAGACATTTTGAACTTTGATATAGTACAGTATAGTGTATAGCTTGTTGTATCTAAGTTTCATAGTCTTCGAGCTATGCTTAGAAGATTGTCTCAAATTCAATATTCGAAATGGAAATAGATTAAATTTTATATACATGATTTCAAGTATATATTTGCGTAACTAAAACTCTCTTGTCTAATTATTATTTCACACATATGCATAACATAATAACCAGTATAGCCTTAAACCATGCTGCTTAGGGTATTACCAGAAGACATCCAATAGCTGCCCGGCAAAGACTTGAGCCAGATTTAGCCGGAAGCCTATGCAGCATACATAGTTGCGGCCAAGCTCTCAAAATGCCCTCGTCATTTGCGCCAGAAATCCTTTTTAATTTCGTTGTATGTTGCGTGAGTGTATCTGTGTGTGTGTGTGGGAGTGTGTGTGTATCTCTGTTTGTGTGTGTGTGCTTAGCATGTTAATTGCTTTCTAAGCCAATCGAATTTTTTGCTCGTCATTATGAGTAATGCGGCTCGGCTTTGGCCTGGCCTGGCCTAAAGCAATTTGTCGGCTAACTTTCGAACTGGCAAATTGCTTTAAGCCAGCCAGGCTCTTGCCCATAAATATTAAAGCCCTGTCAATGTTATATCAGCAGCAACAACAAGCTAAGTAGTTAATCGCACATGTCAGCCGTACTTAATTTTACATGCAAACAAAACAAGATTGTAAACAAATATTATATTAATAAAAACTCTATATAAAAAAATGCATAAAAAAGTATTAAATATTTGCACAGATGTATTTTATAAATAAAATATGTATTTAACATTTCTCACATTAATTTACATATCTGATTACTTTTCGTATTTATTTGAAGCTTTTTTTGCTGCTCATAAAAAAAACTAGAATAAAAAGTTACTAAATGTTTTATTTTACAAAAAAAAAAAAAACAAATTTAAAAAAAAGTGAATTTAAAATAAGGCACAATATATATGAATATATATATTGTGAATATTAAATAAAAAAATTATAATATTAAGGACTTTTAAGCGAATTAAAACTAAAGCACAAAAATAAGTGAATAGAGGAAAGAATAAATAAAATAAATATATATTAATTATATGTTTATTATATATATATAAATATAAAAGCTTATTTGTTTCATATATATTTATAAGTTCAACACCCAGCCCCGCCTTTTTGTGGCAAACTCAACATAAACTCTCAAATAAATAGCCAAAAATAAAAATTATAAAAATTAAATTCTCAAAATTATCATATGTCATTTGATAATGAATAAGCTGACTGAACTTGTAAAAAGAAGGAAAACACTCAGCTGTAAAAATTCAATATGAATTACAATTTATCACTATAAAGCATATCACTATATAAACAGTAAAATACTAAGCAAGTCTTCATTTCATATATAAGCAAAACAAACCTATAAAAACTTCTTGCTTAACTTGATTTCTCTTCCCACCTTCAACGTGATAGTCAACGCTAACTGCAACTAACGAAGCACATAATTATATTTATTATAATCAAACATTGAATGCATAATGAAAAATTATATCTATATACATACATAATACTTTCGCCAGCCAAATAAATCAATTATACTTAATATAATGGGACAAAGTTTATGAGCGAATTATCACAAAGTTCTGTCTGAGCAAATGTCATTAAGCCGAGGCAAACGGAATAAGTTATATTACGTTGCTAATTTATGGGGCACATAAGTTAATTTTTGTTTGTTGTCCGTTGTCTGTTGACTGTTGTTTGTTGTTGTAATTAGTGGAGAGGACTATGTAGGACCATTAAATCCGGTTCTGCCACGGAAACTCGGACACATAAACAAATGAAAAACTGTTGCTTCCGCTCGGCACAATGGCCGAGCGAGAGACAAACGAGATTTGTGTGCGAGCGAGATGGCATCACGCTAATTATTTTGTCGGCCGACGAAAGTTCATAGTTCAGATAAAAAAAAACCACACACACAAGCAGAACCGACAACAATAATAATTACAATGCCACAAATACATTTGCCTCAGCTGCCTCTGGTCCAATTGTTGTAATTTTTATTATCAGGCAAAAAGTGAAAAGAAACTTAATTAAAAGCCACCTGCCAGTTACCAGTGCGCCCTGTGGCCAGCGAAGCTCAGTTAAATGCAATATTTATGCGTGAGAGAAAGAGACAAATATAGAGACGCCGTGAGCAAGGTCAACTGACTTGCGCCATCTACACAGAGGTATACAAAGAAAGTGTTGCATACATTTGAGCGCTGTGTAAGCTAGACGACTGATGGCTTGGCTATCTTATTGCGTGGCTTGGCTATGCACATTCTGAATTTTGATGATATTCATGAGCTAGACATGAATTGTCTGAAAAAGTAGAATATTAAAATCTATTTATTTAAATTAATATATTTTGAAGTTCACTCAGAAATTCGAGGAAGTATATTCCTATCTATAAATAAGTATATCCACAACCAACAGATAAAAGTAGAGCATGGCAGATCGAGCTTGCCTTACAGCTAGAACTGTGTTAAGGTTTTTCAATTACTGCATGAAGTTGTAGAAGAGTTTCAGTTAAAAGTATTATGCAGAAGGACACAATCGACTTACTTCTTAAGACTTCACTCGTATTTAGCAACGAACAGCATAATCATGCCACAGCATGAGAATTAATCCCATTAGCTTAAAGCATTTGTAACAACTTAGCATTTTGACGCACTTCAAATGCAGTAAAACAAAGAAAACTAATTCAAAATTGAATGCAAATATTGAGTAAAAATAAATAACAGTATTTAAACTTTAAGTCTGAATGGGCCACAAGCTCTTAGCGCACCATAGTTGATGGCTTAAATATTGTATTAATTTGATCACATGGACTTAAGACATTTTTGGAAACACTGCTGTTATCAAAAGCTTTTTTGATAAACAGCCGCATTTACCATTTACCACTTACCATTTACTTTTTGGCCCTTTTTTGCAGTTATTGGGCCCATCGAGGCGCTGCACCTATCGAGCCTCTCCGTCCCGCCCATTATCGATGTCGCACAAAAGGCCAAACTGTTTTGCAGCTATGAGATGGGCAATCGGACGCTCAACTCGGTCAAATGGTATAAGGATGGCCATGAGTTTTTCAGGTAAGCACAGCGAACGCATTGCCATTTTTTTTTTTTACTTTAACGACGGCTGCTGCTGCTGTGGCGGCTGTAAAACAAATAAAAAGCAGCCATAAAAATATTTTTCGGCTCTGGCTGGCAATAATAAAATGGCTGGCGAGTGTGCCGGCGCATTCATGCAGATTTTATGGTGCAAATTGAAAACGTCATGAAATTGCAACACTCTGTGCAGCACAGTGTTGCAAGGCAGCAGCAGCCGCTGAGTGCCCCTGCACACTCGATCGGTTGAAAGTGTCGCGACTAATTTAAATGCTTAATTGAAATGGATTTTATGGGCGCCAGCAATGGCGCTCAGGTGACATTTGCCTGCCCCACCCACGTACTCGCCCCCACTGAAACCCGCTTAAATATGTGTAAAGCGCAGTTTTTATTTAACTGGCTTAATTGTTGGTCAATGCTCGGGCTTAATCGAGCACAAAATGTTGCCACAGTTAAGTTCGGCTTTTTTCCTTTTAGCCAACATTTTTTGACTATTGATTTAAGAGGCATGCAGCCACGAAAACATGTTGCCGCAACACTCGAGAGCACATGTCAAGCAATTCAATTGGAAACACAATACCAAAGGCGAGACACAGATTGTTATTATCGCATTTGATGCTTGGCAAATAGAGAAACGAATTAATTAATCAATAGAACAATTCGCACATTAAATTATTAAATACAGAATACCCCTAATAGACAATAATGGAGCTATTCAATATGTGTATAAAGCACACAATTTTCCACGTTTTGCAATTATAAATTAATATAAATTCTTTTGAAATGAAGCACAAAATGAAAATAACATGAAATATTTTCCGAACAAAACAAATTTTCAAATACATATTTAACCAATGCAAATAACAATGCAAGCTGCATTCACTCAGAATATGACTCTTGGAATATTTCATTGAAAGTTGTTATATACATACATTTGGAATATAAATACATTTATTATGCACACACATTTTGTGGCACTGAAAAACAAAATGTGTCCAAAAGAGTTGCCTTTAGGGTCGCCACCAAATCACATATGCAATGCATATGATATGGGAATTTCAAACTGGGACTGAGAAAGATAACTGTATATATCAGAATTCATTTATATTATCTTTTAAGAAATTTCAGGCTTTGACCCAGCGTGCCAGAGTCTCTATTTGTACCTAGCTTTGAAGTTTTATCTGCTCATAAGAAATATATATAGCATTTTTCTATTTTTTCACATAGTTTTCATAACAATTTTCTTTTTTATATTTTTATTATATTTATATTTAAAAAATAAATAGCTTTTATATTTTTATAAACTAAATTTTGATATAAAAAAATGTTTACCTAAAACTTTTCATTAAAAATTTAATTTCTGAATGTGAATGAATTTTGGATTTAAGCTTAAATATAAAAATTAAATAAATATAAATAACTAGAGTAAAATTTTTCAATTATTTTCAATTTAAAATATAAATATTTAAATTCATTTAAAACTTTTTTTTGCATTTCACGTATTTTATATAACATTTAAATAAAAATAAATTTAATAAGATTTAAAGATAAATAAAACATATGCCAAAAAAATAGTTAATAAATACATTAACGCATTCTATTCATTACGAAATAAGTAGTTTAATGCATTCCATTCAGCTAAAAGGCCTAAAGAGAAACTATTCAACTATTTGTTTGCAATTATTCAGTGGATCAAAGAGTCCAATCGGAATCACATTTATTTTTAAGTTATGCACAATTTGTGAGGCCCAGGTAAACGAATTTGAATTTCATTGTAATACCTTTTATTTTTGTTGTATTTTTTTAACCTTTTTGTTTGAGTTTGTTTCAAATTGAAGCTCTTGAAAACTACTAAGCCTCAAGCACAGCCGCAGTTGCAGCAGCCATTGAAAGCAGCATAATGCCCGCGATATTCATATATAAAAAAAGAAGATACATATATATATATATGAAACGGGTCTGCAAATCGATGGATTTTTATTTGAACCGCAGTTGCGCAACGTTGGCGCAAAATGCAGTTGAAGCCGAAGCTTTTTGCATGCGCCTCATAAATATTTCATGGATTCGGTTCGATTTTTGCGCAGCACTCGAACTCCAAGGCGTTTGCTCGCTCTCTCTCTCTCTCTCTCGCTCTGTCTCTTGATGATTCTCTCTGTTACACTCAGTCAAATTCTATGTTTTTGCAGATACTCGCCGCTAACGCCGCCGACAACAAATTGGTTTCCCGTCAAAGGTGTCACCATTGCCGACGGCTCGTCGCATTGCAATCAATTCATCTGCAACGTGGAACTGGAGAAGCTGAATATCTATTCGTCCGGACAATACCGCTGCGAGGTGTCCGGCGATGCGCCCGAGTTCGAGCTGATCGATAAAGCGGCCAATATGACCGTTGGCGGTATGTAGCAAAAACTAGCCAAATTACACACAGCCCACTGACTCAGCAGCCGCGTGTCCTTTGCACAGGACATGCACGACAAAACACTCGAAAAAATAGTAAAGCACTCTTAACTCAGTTAAGCTTTTAACTAAATATAAAATGTTTATGAATTGCGCTTGTGAAGTATCTAATGTTAAATTTTAATAGACATTTTTTATCTAAAAACAAAATTTATATTAGAAGCGTCATTTGAGTTATCGATAGGAACATGATATGATGTCTATAATAGATAATTTTAGCAGTGGCATTTTTAGCTGAAGAAAGCCAAGTCACATTCGAGCTTTTTGCGATTCATGCTTGGATCATTTGAATGCCGTAGTCTAGGCAAACGATGGTTACCTAGTGCCAAACTGAATTGGTACTAAATTTTTAAGTATTTTCACCTGTGCTGCATTTTGTGATAAAGGATTGAAGAATTAGTTTTCAAAGGCGAACAATTGTGTTCATCCCTGTAAATAAACAATTTTAAAAAATAGTTCTAGTCTAGATAAGATTGAAGAAATATAAAAAATGTTTATTCGAAACGCCTTAATTTTAGTAAAAAATATTTTTAATTTATGAATTTTTCAAAAAGACATTATAGTCACAATTTTAATATTTTTTTGATTCTGAAGAAAACTAAATTAAAAAAAATTCAAAAATTAAATAATTTCAACAACTTTCTCTAAGTGTGAACTCTTCAAAAAATATTGCTATTTACTTATTTGATTTATACGCCTGCCTCTCTGCAGGTCTGTCTATCTCTGTGTGTGTGCTTCATACACAAAGACAACAAATTATGTGCAATTTTGAAAACACTTAATAAAATTATAAATGGTCTTTGCACGGTTCGCCGCCAGCGATGCCAGCGATGCCAGCGGGTGGGTGGTTGCTGCGCGGCTCAACTCCTTTTCATTTATCATTGGCAAAGCGACAGTCACAGTAGGCGCGTACGCAGTTCAAAGGACGCCGCATAAATGCTGCAAAATTGTGACACGCTTCAGCCATTTGTATGAGTAATGATTGTTAATAAATCTAGAGCTCAGTCGCCCAGCAGCCTAGCCCCTATCTCGACTGCTCTCCCACCTGCCTGCGCCAAATTCAACTCAATTGTGAGCTTTGTACGAATCAATTTATAATCTGCCTCCAAAAAGGCGGCTGTGCCGTTGTCACGTGCAGCCCAGCCACTAGACATCGGGGCATAACTCAGACAACAACAATGACAACATCGAAAACTGGCCAATAAGTGCTGAACGACTTGCAGGATACCCTGTAGGTGGCTTCATCAATGCTGCCAACTAGAAATATATGAGGCATATGCAACTAGCTGCTCATCACTGATATGGCTGAGTTCTTTGCCTTTTTCGCAGTCTTTCCCTCTCTCTCACTCCCTCTCACTGTTTTTCAATTTATCCTTCTCTTTGATCAGTCACTCTCTCTCACGCTATTTCTCTTACTTTATATACACTCTTACTTTTAGTCTATCCCTCCCACCCTTCCTCTCTTCTCTCTCTTTATTTCTCTCTTACCCTTTTCTCTCTCTCATACCCATTCTCATACTCTCTATCTCTCTCTCACGCTTTCTTATATTCACTATCTCCTTCACTTTTTCACTTTGTCTGTCTGTTTCTCTATCGCTGTCACTCGCTCTCACTGTCTTTCACTTTATCTCTCTCCCCGTCTCTTTCTACATTTCTCGTCAGTGTCTCTCGCTTCCTCTCTCTCTCTTACTCTCGCACTCAGTGTTACTCTTACTCTATCTCCCCCTCGCTTCCACTCTCTTGCTCTTTCTCTCTCTCTCTTTTTTCCCTCTCTCGCTCCCTCTCTCCCCCTATCACTCTCCTCTGCCATCCTCTCTCCGTCTCTTTCTCCCCCTATACTTTCTCCCTGCAATATGAATCTATAATTCTTGAGCTTTTCTCGCTCAGCTTATGTTACATCAGCTTGACGCTGCTTGAGCATACCCTTTACACTAATTTGAAGAGGGCACAACAAAGACAGCAGCAGCTAATTTTTTTTTTTTGGCCTGGTCGTGGCGTTGCTGTAGTTGGGTTTTGTTAATGTCAGCACCGCGGGCAATGATGGCCGCCATTTTGAGCTCGCACTCGCTTTGATTGGCAACGTAGATGACGCAGCCGCTGCGGTTGCGGCCAGGCTGGGGCATGGGAAAGGGAACGGTTGCGGCAGAACTCTGGTCGGCGACACGGTCGGGTGTGTACGCTGGCACACTTTGAAATTCAAATCAATTGATTCGGGCCCAAATGTCATTTGGCGCAAATGAAAATGGGCTGCTTATGTCTTTTGTTGCACGCGCACGCGAATGCGGCTCAAAATGATTTATTTGTCGCAATTTTCCTGCTCAGCGATTTGTTGCTACTTCAAATCGTGGCAACCAAGTTGAGAGCGACGCTTGGAGGTCCTTTATTTATTGACGCTACTTTAAGAGTATTGATTTGCATAATGCGCACTTAAGCATTTGTTTACGCGTAACAATCAAATTTGAATTCGCATTTTGCCTTTAATTGGATGTTTTTAGATGTCCCACGAAGAATACTTCCCTCTTGCTACCCACCGCCCCCGCCTGCCACTCTCGCCTCGAGATTGTTTGTCGTCTATGCCATTTGCATGTCAATTTGAATTTTATCTATTGTGCTTAGATATGGCAGTAAGCCACGCTTAACTTGTTCAACATGCAAATAACAATGACTAGATTAGATCCAATGCCATTCGAGCTTTATCATGCCGTTACAATTCCTTTGATTTCACCTGCTCAACATGCTTCAATTAAACCCATAACAACTTTGTATAAATAAATAGTTTATTCTGCCTCCACAGCTTGATATAAGCGCTTCTTACCATTCTCTCTTTGACTTTGATTAGGCATTGAACCTTTGTCTCTATTGTGCTTTATATTCAGTCAAATTAGGGAGCTTTCACATTTGAAGAACTATTTACCTTTGTTTAACAAAAAATAATATAAATATATTCAAGAAACTCATTTTAAGTTCAAAATGCTAAGCGAATTTATATTTGCATTTTCATAGGCAATTTTGTATTTTTTATGAGAGATTGGCCAAATAAATAGAGAAATTTTACAATTTTTTTTAAAAATCAATAATATTGAAAATTAAAAAAATTAGATAAAATTCTTATTAGCTAATTAATTATATATATTTTAAGCAAAAAAAAAAAACAATTATTTCAAATCATTTCTAATTTTAAAAGTTAAAACTTTACAGCTTTTTGGCTCCACTAAAGTCTCCGTATGGTAAAACTAAATGTTTTGTAAATTTATTTTTTTTTTAATTTCTAGCGTAGCCATTAATGATTTTAACTGTTTTTAATTTTGTTGGTAACTGGAATATTAGTTTTTCCATATGTAATTGAATAATGTGTAGACTATACTCTTCATAGATTATATATACACTGTTTTATGTATTCATATTGAAGTCTTTATAGAGTATATTTACTCTGTATTATATAATTTTCCACTCATTGAAACTTAAACCTGTTTCTAATGCAATTTTAAGCCTCTGCACAGTTCGATATCTATTCCCAAACAGTAAATCACGTCTGCAATGAAACTATGAATATACAGCAAACTTTGCGAGGAGAAGTTTTATGCTAGGATATTCAAGTTGACGCTAGAGAGAGAGACAAAGAGAGGAGAACTTAGTTTGAGGCCAAGGCATGACTAAAATGCAAAGCCTAAGAGGTTATATACAGATAACAAGAAAGTAAAATCTAAAATTAAAAGTCTGAATTGCACGTCTAGAGAGGAGCTCTACAAGAGTCTCAAGGCTTTAAAGCTTTAGTAGCTTCACTGATCAGACTCAGCTCAAACTATCCCTTGCTCTTGTCTAAGGCCAGCTCTTGCAGTTGGCTTAAAGCTTTTTACATCAATCGCAAAATCTGTCAATGAGAAAGGTATTTGATGGACTAAATCAAATACAATTTTCTTTTGAAAAGATTGTCATATTTAGCTCGTATTTTTCAATAACCAACGAGAGACATAAACTGACCGCCCGAACATAAAAGAAATGACTGAATTTTCAGCATGTTGTGAGCCATTTCTGGCATATGCCAACTGCCATGCATATAGCCTGTCCGCATGTCCCTCTCTCTGTGTGTGTGAGTCCAGCCGAAGCCGTAAAAAGGACAATCCAAGCCATATATAAAATGAGGAGCCAACATTACCAAATATAAAAGCCAACCAGCCAGCGCTGGCCATCAAACTTCATCAACGAGCTGAGCTGAGCTGAGCTGAGCTGGTGACAAAAGTTTTCGAGCACCAGCCACGCCCCTTCGTCCGGGTAGCTTCTGCCACCGCCCTCCATTGCATAAAACAATGTCTCCCATGTCCGATGCAGCACGTAGTTTCAACTTAATGCCGAGGCCCTGTGCTGTGCTCGGCTCTGTTGTCCAGCGCAGTGTAGTGTAGTGTAGTGGCTTGTACTCAGTTTTTTGTTTCAATGGCTGCGAGAAGCTGTTGACAGACCAACAATCAACTTGGGTATTTCTGTCACCAAAGTGCCATCGCCCAGCATCGAATACAGCTGAAAAACTTTCAACCCAACAGCCAGCAAAAGTGTTTGCCGTGTCTCGATTTTCTAACGGCAATCACCTGGCGCTCTTTGATGATAGCACCAACAACAACAACAACAACAACAACAACAAGCCAAAGGCTTTGTGGAGCGTGTAAAAAGTTTGGCTTGGCAAATATTTTTCCGCTTAGTTGCGTGCCATGTGTCGCACTGGCAGCCACTGATTAAGTTTCGTCAAAGTTTGCTCAGGATGTGATCTAAATGTGTGTGTCCTTTGTAAGCACACACACACACACCTAATTACTATAGAGATTTCCCATATTGTTATACCATATATACTTAAAGGTCTAACCAGCTCTGTCCATCAAGCACTTCTGACTTTTGAGTTTTTAATATGGGTTCATCATTTGCGGTGCTCGCACCGGACACAGAGCTGCCCCCAAAGTGCCTCACCTGTATTTTGTTATGCTCGGCTTGTTTTCACTCCAACTTCTTCAACTCATTGTTGTTCTTGCCCCCGTTGCTGTTGGTTTTCTGGTCTCGTTTAGCATTCAAACTGGCAGCAAGCAATTTCCCCAACTGCCTATAGTGTCATTTATTTCCTTACTTTATTTTGGCTTTTGTTCTTTTATTTTCAATACTCTTGCGCAGACGCTGACTTCATTTTATTGAGCTGAATGTAACGCGAAGGAACTGAGCTCCATTTTTTCAGGACAGGTCACATTTAGCTTGAGATATTTGCAAACTAATTAAGTATTTGCTTAGAAAACTCCTTAGTCTAACAATTCGAAAGAAGTTTTGAGAAGTTTTTCGTAAGTTTTAAGTTTCATTTTAGCCAGTTTCACTAGCTCAAAATTCTTTGTTCGGTAAAAAATTCCTTAAAACTTTCACAATAAATATATAGCTTTTTTTAGAGTTGCATAAGTTTAAATCCTAATAAAATATAAAAATATATTTTTGATATGAATGATATGAATTTTTTTAAACTGATTTTCATAAGCAGCAGAACCCTTGCAGTCAATCAATAACTTCGTCAACCCATAGCAAGCAAAAATAATTTTCTGTGGATGACTTGGCTTGTTTATTATCCACACTCCAATTTCGCTTCACTTTCTATGAACATTAGTTAAATTCATGATTCTGAGCTGCTTCCTAGCTTCAGATATATGAGAAGTAGTAAGAATGGCTTAAAATGAATTATTTTTCAGGCTCAGGTTGGCTTTGATATGGCAGCCTCAAGCAGTTTCGCACTGCAAAGTTTTAGTATTTAGTATTGATATAGATCATATATATATATTATATATCTAAATTATATATTTAAAAAATATTTGAAGAGCATTTTATGTGACGAGATATATTTATAAAACAGTCAAACGAAAAGCTCATCAAATATCAAATTAAATATGATTTTGTATAAATTTTTTATATATATATATTTTATTATAATATATATATATATTTTGGTTTATTATATATATATATATATATATATATATATATATATATATATATAAATATATATATTATATATATATAAAAATACAACAAATATATATACAGAGTACAAGTTCAAATGCGTTAGGGTATTCAATGTGCCACAAGACATGTCATTTGTTTACGTTTGATTTTTGTTTATTTTGAGTTGCCTTTGGTATTGTTGTTCACGTTGTTGTTCTTGTTGTTGTTTGTGTGTGTTTTACTGGTACTTTGGCATTTTTGGTTTATTTATCCGAGTTGATTGCTTTGTTTTCGTACAATTTTCGCATTTGCCGCATGCCGCATGCCGCATGCTGCGTGTTGCCTTTTGCCAATTCGAGTCACAGCTCTGTTTACCACCGCCAGCACCACCAACCGTACCGTACACCTGCAACATTGACCAGTCCGAGCTGATGTGATGCCACCAAAAGCGGCACAACATGCTCCCAATCATCATCAGCTGGCAAGCACTTGGCCAAAATACTTGCCACTCGGTACTCGGTGGGTTAACTGAAGGCCAGAGCGCTGCGGCGGGCTGGCGAGGTAGCAACAGGGTCAGGCAAACTTTCCACCAAAGTGGTTTGTATTAAGTCAATTAAAAAGTTTATACTACTGCTGACTGCTGCTGACTTTTGATGGCCCCTGCCCTGTCCTGTCCTGCGCTCGCTCGCTTGTATTCCCATGCCTCCGGCCCTGGCTATGGCCACAGCTACGGCTACGGCTAAGGCTACGGCTTCGACTACAGCTCCGACTATGGCTCCTTAGCATATTTCACAAATTTTCAACAGCAGCAACAACTGCGGCAGTCGGCATTCATTTGACTATAGCTCAAACTCAGCTAAAATTTTGCTGCTGTTGTTGTTGCTGTTATTGTTGCTGCCCAGTGTTTTGTGGTTCAACTCAAGTTGGTCTTTGTTGTTGCTGGTTGTTGGTTTCTGGTGACGGATACTTTGTTTTCTACACAGTATATGTGTGTGTGTGTGGGTGTGTTTGTGTGTGTATCAACGAAATAAACCAAATTATTCTTGCTTTCATCAAAAAAGTTTGTCCTGTGCAATTATTTGTAAAGATTAATTAACACTTTGAACAAATATTTAGAGACTGACTGCTGGTTGCTTGATAATTACCTAAGTGCTTCGATGGTGTACTCTGGCAACTAACACCTCAGCTGACCCACAACCAACCAACAACAAACAAACAACCAAGCTGCAGCCACTGTCTTTGATTCCCATTCGACTATTAGTTAAATGGCGTTAACTCCGTGTTAAGTAAATACAAATGTTGCTCTTTGAGAGTAAAATGCTTCAATTGCAAATAGAAATTTGTGTATTTCACAAAATATATAATATTTATCCTAGGTTCAATAGGCGCTAGTCGAGCATGTTGATAAAGGTAACTAAAGTTCAAGCCTTGAAATTTATAACATAATTTCTGATCAATTTTATTTAAGCTACTGCTTTTTGTATGTAATTAATGATTGACTGACTGACTGATTGATGAGCAAAAATATCAGAACCTAAGCCTACCTAAATGACCTTTGTGCAGTGGCTCATCTATATATGACTCTATAAACTTTGATAAATCCTATAAAATACTGTAAAAAATAATTTAAAAATAAATGATATCAAAATATATTCTTAATAAGTTGTATGATCTCATTGGAGCCCTAGCCATCCGGTTTATTTATTGTCTTGTAAATTTATTTATTGGCTAGTAAATTTATTTATTGTCTAGTATAAAGCAGATTGCAAATAAAAACAGCAATTAAAAAAAAAATTGTATGGCTGAAAATTGAAGATGTTAAGTTAGATTTTTTTCGATTTGAAGCTGTCAAAAAAATGTGCTCTTAAAAAACAATAAAAATTCTTTTTAAGCTTTCGAAAGAATTTTCAAGCAAAAAAGTTTTTGTTGCTCTTAAGATAGTATGAAAAATTTGTCATTAAGCTGTAATTTAAGGAAATTGTAGAGGCTGAAGGCTTAACGATATCGTAAGACACTTGTTCAAGCAGCAACATGAAATTTACGACCATTCCTGACATACAAAACGTTTGAGTTTAAAAACATGAGAGCAATACTTGTGCCTTATGCTCCAATTACACGCCTTGGGAGACTGTGGCCATGAAGAATGGTTATTTTTAGAGAAAAATAATGTTTATGTTTGATAAGCATAAACCTGTTGTAAGGACATTCACATGAAAGGATCTTAGAACAGCATAAACAAGAAGAAAAATATTTAAAATTTTTTAAAATATTTTTTCTGTAATTTATTTCAGCTATTTACATTGCTTGAATACCCAATTATTATTTGTGTTTATTCTAAGACGAAGAAATTCTTGTACACTCAGAGCCCAATCAGCAGCATTATGTTAAAGCTGAATATCAATTCGAATGGCAGTAAAAATACGTATCAATTCCTTGTCATATACAAATATATATACATATATATATATATATATATTTATGCATATACCTATACATACACAGCTATCCAAACATTTAACAATTTAAGTTCATTTCGTGCCCCAACTCACGTTAAACTCATTCGCTTGCTTCACAGTGCTGCCTAAATTTGATCCGCTGATCTCAGGCATAAGACGGACGTACAAATATCGCGATACGCTGCTGGCCAACTGCAGCTCCGAGTGGTCGAGTCCTGCGGCGCGGCTTACATGGTATATCAACAACAAAACTGTAAGTACACAATTTGGGCACGTTACGCATACGCACCGTTGCCCGAAATGCACATTAGACAGCTATGGACAGGGCCTAAAACTGATTGCAACATTGGCCATGCTGCATGTCCAAAAATTACTTGCGGCATGTGGCATTGCGAGCGAAACTTCCACTGACACTGATTATGCCAAGTGCGCCTTTCAACGCAGCTCGGCCCCACTATTTCGATTTCGATTTGCGCCTTTAATGCCCTGAAGCTATTGAGAACGTTAGTAAAAAAACCGGGTATGACTGTTGCATCCACTTGTGTGTGCAACTGGCAGAAGGAGGCATGGCTGGCCCGATAGATGAGTTGAATAGCTCTAGCGAGGTGAATGTGCGTCTGTTTACCTATCTGAGCCGCTATCTCGAATACTACAAGAGCTATATGCTTGAGACTCTTCAGTTCTACGCTTAGCTGGCAAAAATAAAATAGTTTACAAATTTTTATATGTGGAACTATTATTTGATAGACTTTTAAAGCTGGAGACATGAAATTTCGAGCTTAGTTTCTTGCCTTTAAACTCTTAAAATATGAAGCAGCACAGCCTTTAGTTTAGCACAAGCAACTGGCTTCAGGGTATCGACTAGTCGGTCACTGCCGCCTAGAGCACTCACTAATCTGTTCCAATTTTGTGGCAGGCACCACAGATGCAGCTGCAGCCGCAAATCAATGAAGTCATACACAACACCGAGGGCTTTCCGCTCTATGCGAGCAAACTGCAACTGCGACTGCATATCGACGACCAGCGCTTCATTGGCAAGAGCGAAATGCTGGAGCTGCGCTGCGTGTCGGATATACTGGGCGTGGCCAGCCTGCGGCGTGAGAGCTGGCTGCGCACCACCATAATGGCGCTGAGGGACAGCGGCGTCAATCAGCGGCGAACTGAGAATGGCACCTGTGCCAGCGCCCGAGCAGGTGAGTCCGCACACAGCGCGAGTGCGTTTCCATATAATCGAATTATGATGCTCTTTCAGCCACATTTGCCTGGCTGTTGTGCCTGGCGTCCCTGCTGCGCTGGCACTGCACTCTGAGTTAGTGGCTGTATCTGTGGGCCGCCTTTCTTTTAGCCTGATTTTTTTATTTTATGGTTTTTTTTGATTATATTAAATGAAGATTATTTAAGTCCAGTGAAGGCGACAAATCGGTTAAGGGCGGCTTTTTGTAAGCGCCCAACTACGCCAAGCAGAAGAATGAAAAGTTAACAAGGCAACTGTTGAATTTGTATATATATTTAAATATATATATTGACTATATAGTAACTGCATAGTCAAGCAAACTTTCTCGATGTAATGCAAAACGAAGATAAAATCTAACAAATACAATTTGATATAGTTGGCCAAAACAGAAGCAAGCACTACATATGTAAATCTAATATAAATCATAATTAATAATGAATACAACCTGCACTTTCAGCATATGAAACATAAATACATACATATATGTATGTGTATATGTGTGTATATGTATTTGCACACAGCGAGAAATGAAACACAATCAACTGCAACTAAAAGTAAACATAATTATTAAATGTGAAATGTTAATGTATTTGTATTAAACGATGTACGAAAAATAAAAACAAAAAAAAAACGAAAAAATGAATGAAAAATATAAAAACAAACAAATTCAATTTCAAAGCATAAACTTTTATTTTCCAGCAATTAAATTAAACGAGCTAATATTTGCCTAAGACTAATTGTGTACAACATTAGCATTAGCGACCCTTTTATGCCCGTTCAGCAAGTGAAGCGAGTATATTTGTTTTGTGCAATATTCCATTGGCAAGCATGCCTTTGAAATAGAAATGGACCCAATTTTTGAGGGAATGAATTAATATAAAAGTTAAAGCAACCCGAACTAAATATCTTTTGTGTAAATGAAACAAACTAAAATTTAATTGAAAGCATATTCGGATACTCTTTTCTTATCATATGTGTATATCATATCATATAAATATATATTTCTTATAAAATATTTACAATTTTTTACTGATTATAAATCTTAAAAGTTAATATTTAAAAAAATGAGTCAAAGTCATGTCAGCGTTTCGTCTTTATATGTTATCAGCATTCAAAACAGCTTTAAAAATTCCTATAAATGCCCTGAAGCTCAGTCAATTCTCAACTAGAAACGTCCATCTCTCCATATATCCGACTATCCGATTATACGCTATATATTTTTTCGCTAACTGAACTTCTTCTTCTTCTTTGTTTAGAATCGATAAAAATCGATGATCAAATAACAAGCATTACAGTTACTTCCTATAAATACTTGAGCTATGTGGTCAATATATATATATATAATATATGTAAAATAGAAATTATAAAAATTAATCTAATCTCTAAATTTTTTTTTAGTTTTCGAAGCTAAATGAAAATGAATATCGATCAAGTTATAAGCGTGGCGTGCTTCTCAACGCAAGTGCAATTTGACCTAATTACAAGATTAATGAATGCACTTGAATTCATAAAAAGTTAACAACATTAAATATTGTCCTATTCAAGTTAATCAGTGCAATAAAGCAATAAGACAATTGGGTAAAGTGTGCTGACAATAAAGAAGATAAAAGCAATTTGGAGGCATTTTGTTGATTGTGACTGTGATTCAAAAGAGGAATACTGAATACTCTTTCTGGATTCATAATTGTATTATAATAAAATTATATATGCAATTAATTTGACATTTCTTTCGCTTAATGCTGCGCTGCCAAAGGCAAAGAGATCTGAGAGTGAGAAAACTAAACTAAACTAAATAGAGAAAACTGTTTACTATGTTAGGGTATTTCGGATTCGATTTTATTAATTACATTTCCGCCGAGAGTTCCTATAAATACCCTGTTGTTCAGTCAATTCCCAACACTAACATGAAGCAATTATCCATTCTAGTGGCTCTCGTCTGTGTGTTGGCCCACGTGGGCAGCACTCGTGCCCAGTGCTGTCGGCCTACAATGACCGTCTCGTATACCGTGTTATCAGGTCGCTGCAGAGAAGCAGGTGGCACCAACAGCACGATTTCAACATGTTCGGTTACCATTTGTGCCGATGGCCGGCCGCTAGTGGGCAACTACTGTGGCCGTCGATCCTGCAATATCTTCGGCTGCAACTGCGGAGGTGGCTGCCTTTCTGGCAACTGGGCGAACAGTTTTGCCTACAATTATCGACGCTTTAACGTCAGAGTTTTGAGTACCAGATGGAGCTAAGTGGGTCTATGCCATATCACCATATTGCTCAAAACTAATTAATATAACTAAATGCATTCATATACTGTCTCCTGCCAGTTGAGCAGTTAAATAAATGATTCAATGGGCTTTGTATAAATGATATATGGCTGTGTTCATAAAAATAGTAGCGCCTGAGTAGTACACAAAACATAAGCCAAGCGAAAGTAGGTGACCTGCTTTCATTACAGTTCTTAAGAAAATGCGTATAAAAACCCTGAAGCTCAATTAATTCTCTACTAGAAACGTGCTGAGATGAAGAACGCAATCATTCCACTGACTGTTGTCTGTGTCTTGGCCTATGTGGGCAGCGCTGAGGCGCAGTGCTGTCGGCCTTCGTTGATGCTCTTGTACTCCGTGGCTCGAGGCACCTGTTCAGATGCTGGAGGTCGTATAGGCAGACTGGGCAAGTGCTCGATTACCATTTGTGCCAATGGCAGGCGGCTGGTGGGCTCCTTTTGCGGTCGTGGACCCTGTAATATAGTGGGCTGCAATTGCGATAATGGCTGCATTACAGGCAATTGGGAGAGCAGTTTCATCAACAATAATAGACGCCTGGGCATCAGAATCTTGGAGTCCAGCTGGAACTCATAAGATTGGCAAATGTTTATAAAGCAAATATCTTATATCTATATATTTTATAGCTCTTCAAGTTGGACTTGAAGTGGACTCAATTTTGAAGGGAATTAAAACATATGTTTGCCAACAATGAGCTCAATTGAACTCAAAACTAATTATTTTCTTATTGAAGTTTACGAAAAGAATGAGACAATTGATCGTATTAACTTGCTGGCAATACGCCCTATTGAAAATAATATACAATCTGATATATTTGCGTAATCAGCAATCAAACTGCTATAAATAGCCTGTAGATCAGTTAATGTTCACCCAAAAAGCCGCTGAGATGAAGCATATAACCGTTCCGCTAGCTTTTGTCTGTGTCTTGGCCTATGTGGGCAGTGTGCAGGCAGAGTGCTGTCGGGTTAACTTAACCCTTAGGTATATCGTCGGTTCCGGTACCTGTGCAGATGCTGGTGGCCGTAGATTTAGCTCCTCATCGTGCACAGTTACGGTTTGTGCCGATGGCCGGCCTCTAGTTGGCACCTACTGTGGCCGTGGCTCCTGCAACATATTCGGCTGCAATTGCGATGGTGGCTGCATTAAAGGCGATTGGCAGCAGAGTTTCCTCAATAACAATAGACGGCAGAACATCAGAGTTGTGGATGCCACATGGAGTTCATAGGCAGTGAAAGGACTTCTATAACTGAAACTACTGAAATATTTCATTTATAAGACTTCTACAAATAAAACTGAAAGCTCTGCTTATTAATATACAAATTTAAGTTGTTTAATTGCTTTTTCACTTATGCAAGCTATAATTATATCTTTATATACACCTACATTCTTCTAAAAAAAAAAGAAAATATCTATTTTTCACAAAATCCATTTTACTTCTGAAATTTGAATTTTGAAAATTGAATTTACTTGAAATTTACAGTTTTTAACACTTCAAGTCTTCCAGTTTTTATTGAAGATCTTGTTTTAAGCAAGTTATTTAACGATATAATGGTAATGGAGTAGAATATCTATAAATAAAAATACTCGTACTGCAAATGATAAGCGAAAATAAATGTGTTAAGGACAATCTGTTTTAACTATGACCCAATTTTAAATTACATTTAAACATATGTTTTGAACAATGGGCCCATTGATAATACTTGTTAACATTGTCCGAGTTCTTCTAACCAATAATAGTACCTATATACATTTATATATTGTCTTCTGCACGCACAATAACTGAAAAAGACAAGTGACACGTGCTGATACTAAAGAAAAAACAAGTAAAACAATCCTTGCCGGGAGTGTCCGACTAGGAGTTACCCTGAGTACCGCAAAAACTACGTTTTCAAATAAACTCGTTTATTTATTTATATATATTTATATATATTTATAGAATATATTAAATTAAATAAAAAAAATGTAAGCTAGAAAAAAAAATAGCTTAATTCTGAATCTGCGTATTCGTTTAAAACTGATTTAATTGATTACATAACAACTGAAAAACATATCGATTGCATGAAACTAAATGAGAAGTTTCAAATCTCAAGCTCCCAGCAGCTCCAAGATCAACAAACAGTCAAACAGCTCAACAGAGAGGGCTAAGTAAGTTACTTATGCTGTCCGACATTGACCACGCCGCCTTCTGACTCTTAACAATACAATTCTGAGCAGAATACCCCTATTCAATGGGTTCAGGGCATGAAAAGCTCCATTCGATGGGGTTCGTTTTAATTGTTATATGTCAGCTGCATTCACTTCAGTCACCCCAAAAATTCCTATAAATACCCTCGAGCCGAGTTAACTTTTAACTAGAAACGTTCTGAGATGAAGCAAATAACCATTCTACTGGCTGTCGTCTGTGTCTTGGCCTATGTGGGCAGCGCTCAGGCACAGTGCTGTCGGCGTTCAATGGTCCTCACTTATACTGTGGGAAGAGGCAGTTGTCGGGATACTGGCGGACGTAATATCGCTCGCGGAAGGTGCTCGATTACCATTTGTGCCGATGGCAAGCGCCTGGTGGGCACTTATTGTGGCCGTCGACCCTGCAACATCTTTGGCTGTGCTTGCAGAGGTGGCTGCTTGGAAGGCAATTGGCAGCAGAGTTTCATCAATAATAACCGCGGCCGAAACATCCGAATTTTGAGTTCGAGGACGAATAACTAAGCTGAGCAAGCACTACTACAACTTCTTATTGAAATATACTGGCACAAATCGTATAAATAAAGCAGTTTGCTCTGTTTGTTGATACAAAAACTTATATTGTTTATCTACTTATTAGAATTTAGTGTGTATATTAATTTATATTATGTGTGGGCGTATACAGAGCAGCTAGACAGGGAAGACAAGCAGCAGGGACATAGCTCTATATAATCTTCTAAAAATATATTTGTTTTATGCAAGTTCTGTCTTGCTTCTGTCTGTCTGCAGTTACTCAAAATAGACCTGAAATTTGTAGAAATCATCGTCAAATTAATTTCCGAGCTTAAGTTATAGATCAAGTAGCCTAACCCTGAACGATCTGCTGAACCACATTAGCAGGAGACTTGCAGCTAAAAATATATTTCTTCCTACATACAAAACTCGATTTTTTGCAATATATGCAAAGATTTTGTATATTTTGAATTTTGTCTCTTGTTGCCTTCAACTTTCCATGTGCTTAGACTGTGCAGAGTTCAGGGTATCTATTAGTCAAGCACGCCCGATTCAAGCACTCTTACTCGTTAACTAAATAAAACACAAATACAAAACATTTTATAGCCGTTCCAGTTAGACTTAATATTGGCTAGGGAAATGAACTCAATTTTGCAGGGAATTAAAACATTTGTTTGCTTACAATGAGCCCAATGAGCTCGGAATCAAAACTTGTTAACAATTATTATTTTCTTATTGAAGTTTACAAAAAGAATGAAGCAATCGAATCGTGTTAACGTGCTGACAACAATTCCTATTCACGGCAACCCATTCAAAGGGCTTTGTGTAAGTGAAATTTAATCAGATCTATTGTAAAAATTCCTATAAATACTCTGTAGCTGAGTTAACTTTCAACTGGAAACGTTCTGAGATGAAAAATACAACTATTCTACTAGCTGTCGTCTGTGCCTTGGCCTATGTGAGCAGCGCTCGGGCGCAGTGCTGTCGGCGTTCAATGGTGCTCACGTATACTGTGGAAAGAGGCAATTGTGAAACCGCTGGTGGTCGCTATAGTGGCAACGGAAGGTGCGGCATTGCCATTTGTGCCGACGGGAAGCGCCTAAAGGGCACTTATTGTGGCCGGCGACCTTGCAACCTCGTCGGCTGCAATTGCAGAGGTGGCTGCCTTCAAGGCAATTGGCAGCAGAGCTTCATCAATAATAATATGCGCCAAAAGGTCCGTGTTATAAGATTCAGATGGAATAATTAAGCAGCAAAAGCCCTTCTACAACTTCCTATTCAAATATATGAAATCGTACAAGTTAAGCAGATCGCTCTGTTTATTAATATAAAAACTTATATTGTTTATTTATTTATTAGTATTGAAGAAGAGTTTGTAAAAGGCATAAGTCAGTTTACCCAATTGCTATATACATATATATGTTTCGTGCAATTGCTCAATAACTTCTATTCACTCTCTCTCAAACATATGTTTACAATCAATGAGCTATACAAAAAAAAAACTCAAACTGGCTTGAAACCAGTCGAGCAGTACAACAATTGAGTTAGGCAATCGGATCTAAATATTTGCTTGGCAACAAGCTCAATAATAGCTGCAGAGCTGAGAAGTTAAAGAAGAAGAATTTACTTCAATTCAATTTATGAATGTGGAATACACTTTCTTTAGAGAGAGATGAAGTCATATGATATATGATTGCATAGATGAAAAAAGGTATGGAAATATTTAATATACCAGAGTATTCAAGCAGCTTCTATTTATATTGATGTTCGCCACAAAATTTCTATAAATACCGTGAGCTCAGTTAATTCTCAGTTAGAAGCGTTCCGAGATGCAGCACATTACCATTCCACTAGCTCTTGGCTTGTGTAGCCTGCTCTCAGGCGGAGTGCTGTCGGCGTTCAATGACCCTCTTGTATACCGTAGAATCAGGCACATGCAAGGATGCTGGCGGCTGGCTCAACACTAGTTCAACCTGCATGGTTACCATTTGCGCCAACGGCAAGCGTCTGGTGGGCTCCTATTGCGGTCGACAATCCTGCAATATCTTTGGCTGCAATTGCGGAGGTGGCTGCATCACAGGCAACTGGATGCAGAGTTTCATCGATAATAATAAACGTCAAAAGGTCGTAGTTTTGGAAGCCGGCTCGAGTTCGTAAACTAAGAAGATCTCTCTTAAGCTTTTTAATATATTTAAATATACAGACTGGCGGAAACCTTGTAAATAAAGCTATGTTTGTTATAAGTTAAAAAATTATATTGCTTGGTTACCTAATAGAATTTAGTAAGGGTATATAATATACAAAAACAAGCATGTCATGTATAGAAAAATGCTATCATACAGACAGACAGAAGGCAGACAAATGCAAGGATATTCTTCGAGTCGAAACTGCTCGACTAGGAGATACCTAAACCCCGCGGGCAGGAGATATTCTAATCGTTCTACATACATACATACATACATACATACATACATTATGTGTCATCATTCACTTTTACATATGAAAGAATTTATAATGTTGAGGCTAAGAAGAAGAGATATACTAAACCTTAAATATACGAAATATACACGATCTCAGTTTTTGAGGCTTACGAGATAGCTGCGTTTATACGGACGGTCGAGCATCGCTAGGTCGATTCAGCCTGTCGTCTTGATCACGAAAATGTTGTGGGCCACGCCTTCTTTTACATTTTCATAGAGCCATTATAAGCTGAATTTCCATCTTCAACAGGTTCTGAGTTTAATAAGAGAATATTGGCTTGGTCCAATATTTGTCTGTCTTTAACTACTCAAAATAAATTTAAATAATATAAGTAAATTATTGCCAGATAAAAATATCAGATATATATATATTTATATATATCTCAGCTTTAATTTTAGATATTTTTACAAACACACTCAAAGTGGGAATGCACGGCATAATGATCTTATGACTTCATGGAGTATATTCGATCATGCAGACGAGCTGAGTTGATCTAGCCATGACCATGGCTCGTTGGTGTGCAAGTTATAAGTGTGTGCAAGTTATAGGCGACTCTTGTCGATACTGCAATAGCTTTGACTGTAGAGATGGCTCCAAAAGTTTCGTTTTTAGTTTCAGATAGAGTTAATGAGCTGACAAAATCTTTGACCAGGTTTTGCCAAAGACAGCTTATGCATTTTCTCAATAACTTCTTCAAACTCTGACACAAATCGAAACGTATGTTTAGGCACAGAGAGATAACACATAAACAACTCTCTTAGGGCAGTGCCACAAATGATCTAGGATCTAGTTAAATATTTGCCTGAGAACAAGCACAAAGAAAAGACAACCATGAAATGGAATTTGGTGTATCTTTAATATATGAATATGAACTTCATTTACTTTGTGTGGAGTGGAGATATTTAATAATTCAGAGTATACGAGCTATATATGCAATTGCTAAGTCTACGTATATATAAAAAAAAATATATATATATATTTCATTAGACTGATTCAAGTTGCTATATTCTTTTATATGAACTCATGATAACTCATGATATTATACTCATT